TTGGTGCAGCCATCCTGGCAGTAGCCTCAGCACTTCAGATGCCAGTCCACAATATCACACCGAAAAGAAACCGTTTGGATTCTTTGCAGCAAGTACACCGACAGGGTCCCAGAAGAGCAGCGGGTCACAGGCACCAATTTCCTGCATGTCCGGGACTTGTCCGCAAATGATGCACAAAGTTCCGTGAACCGCCCGAAAGACTTGCTGAGGCTTACCTCAATGAAGGGGTCGCAACACAGAATCGGGCGCAGGGTCTAAACAGGCCGAAAATTTGAAAAGTCTTTGCTCTGGGCTGGCCTCGAACAGGTTTGGTGAGTGTGGTAGCTGCGTCTTGGTTCGCTTGTGGCAGGGGTATAAGGCGACAAACGCTCCTGGCTTCTTCGAAGCCTCTGCATGCATTGTCGCCCCCTCCACTTGAAATTCACCCTGGCGAACGCCCTAGCCCCGGAGACAACGTTGCGAAGCGAGCAAACGGCCCACGAAGCCACGACGCAAGACACCGTGCCATCCTCGTGGAAGCCCGTGCGAAAAGACGCTTCCCCGAAGGTCCCCGTTCAAGGTAAAGGGCCAGCTTGGCGATGTCGCTTGTGCGTGGGGCAGTGCACAGCCGCATGCTTGGAAGCAGGTCCGCTTGTCCACAAATCCCTTGATGGATACTCAACGCACAATGCGGTTTCCTTTGAAAAAAGGCAGAGTGGCAGATGTCGTGTTTCGGGCATCACCCGGCAACAAGGTCCCATGTCAGTGCGCCCTGGAAGTTGCACCAAAGCTTTGGTCAACACCCACCGCGGACGATGGGACTTCGGGTTCCAGGTTACGGTGCTATGGTTCACGGCTTGGGGATGCGATCTCATGGTACGGTTTGGTGAGGTTTTGGCTGTTAGAGTTTGGGGCTTCGGATAGTTCGAGGTTGTTGTTTCGGCCTGGCTTCGGGTTTCAGGTTGAGTTTACGGTGTTGGTGCTGCCGGTTTGCGACTTCGGGTCTACTCCTGACGGTTCCCGGGCTGGCAGACTAGACTGTGGGCTTTCGAATTTGTGGCTGCGGATTCGGCCGGGGAGTTGTCCATGAACAAACAATGGGTAATACACCAGCGACACCCAAAACAAACAGGTGACGTCAAAAAACACAAGTCATGCCCCAATCTATGGTAGCCACAGAGCTTTGAGCATGCAATAAGTGCTTGAAGGAATCAGCTAATCACGGGGATAAGAACAACACAGAGACACAGACAGAGAGACAAATTCCGGCCTGCGAGGCATCGTAGGCGCAGCGGACGACAGATGCCCTGGCACGGAATTAGCAGGTTGAAATCTCTAAACGAATCTTCTAGCATTCCCTCATTGTCACCCTCTCGGCTTCCCCTGTATCAAATTAAAGATAATGCTTTCTCAGCCATGCCCTAGTAAGAATCCGGGCCTCGCGGTTGGCACAACCGACAGGCTGGCCAAGCCGAGGCCAGCCAATCCCAGGCCCAATGCACCCCCGAGCCCGGCACCTTCGCGAAGAGAGAGGTGGCGAACTATCGACACTCAGATGCCCATGCTCCCCAGGGCCAGAGCAATTGAAATGCAAACCTTTGCCAGCGTACAGGTATTGCTGAAAGGTGCTCGCTAAATTTTGGAGGCCTGTCGCAGACCGTTGCTGCGTACCACGTAGGGCGACAGGCCTGCATCCCAAACAGGACTTCGTCGGGTGGATTGCGGTGTCTACATGTGTCCACCTTTACATGCGCTGAATGATGCAGACCTCGACACCGGCTGTGGAACTCCGACAAAGGTCGTCGCCGCAGTGGCGGCCGCGGCGCTCGCGGCGACGAAGGACAGCTTTGACATCGCAGGCATGGCCTCGCAGGCAAGGCAAGCAAATCGGAGTGTATCGAAGTCAGCCTTAGCTGATCCAGCTGTCCGAGCCTCACGCCGGCAAAATCTGAAGGCGTCTTTGACGTCTTTGAAAAACCCACGGCTGCGGCAGCGCTCACACGTGCCCACGACGAACCCCTCACAAATAATGATAAGCCAAAAAGAGAAAGCCGGTGTTGAGCAGATTTGACCAGTGCTCAGCAACGTTATCGATGAGATGCTCACAATGTTGGCTCAACCCTTCATTCCCGAAACCACTGCTGCATGGAGAATCAGAACAGCAACATGCAACCCGGCAACCCCTATGCCCTATGCCATCCCTGTGCCTATGCCCGTGTGAGTCGGAACCCAGCTGAGTGCAAGACTTGGAAGGGCTTCGAGCAGCTTCGCACAAGCGCAGGGCAAACCAGCAACGGCAGCTTGAGTTGCAGTGGCTGCTTATCAGATTGGTGTTTGCAGCAACCTCGATGAGGTCAGTGAGTCCATGCAGCTGAAGAGCACATGCGTGGTGGGGCAGCAACCTTTTTGTTGGCAACATGCTCCACCACTGCACAATGCGCAGCCATACCCTCAGTCGGTTTTCCTGCAATCATCCAAGCAAGCTTGAACAGCGGCATCCTTTGGTTTCTCATGGCATCTCCTACCACGCGCAGGCTATGCAGACCCGGACTGCATGGAAACAACCGCGCCCCAGACTGGCCAGGCTTCAATCCAGGCACTTGCGTCAGAAGCATGCCATACGGACCTTCGGAAGGAGCAGCCCTCAGTGAGTCGTGCCAGGCCGCCCGTCGGCTGACAAAGCATTACCTGACACCATAAACTGGCAGAAAATGGCTTGTTGCTTCCCGCACCGCTTCGCGCCGCTCAGGCCCTGGCATTGCAGTTGCCACAGAGCACAACAGTCTGGGCGTGGCTGAAGACGGTGGTGATCTGGAAGGGGCTACGGATCGGAAAAACCGCATCGCTAGTGATGGAGGCACTGACTGCCACGATCAAAACACCTTGAGCAAGACCTGGCTCAAGGCTCAAGCCTAAGCCTCTTCCTCTCCGTTGCGAGTTGTGACCCGCAACTGAGCCGCACTGCCAAATCAACCCCTAAAGCTGGTCGGGCAGGACTACCGGCTGCTCTAGTCTCATCAAGTCTCGACCCTTTTGGCACCTGCAAGCAGCCCGGGCACTTCACATCCATGAAGAAACCTCGCTGAAAAGAGGCCCAGACGTGCAGTCAATCGCAGCATCTCCTAGACAGGATCTAGCACTCTCAGCCTCTCTGTTTCCGGATCAACATGAAGGCCACGAGGAAGATGGATGAAGTTGGCACGCGGCTCCGGCTCTCTGCCCACCTACTGCATCAGTGCCATTGGCATCCTCGCTGAGCGTGCTCGGCAACTGCACTGTGAGTCCGTCTGACGCACACAGTGGCGTCGTTTCGGAAGTGTTACATGCACGTACCAGCCCGTCCCCACACCCTGCGTTCAGCCCTCACCGGGTCTAGCCATGTTTTATCCTGCCGAGGAGCTGTTTGGAGACTGGATCATGCGCTTCAGCTTGTGCTTCGACTGGAGCGGCAAACAGAGTTTCTGACTGGAGTTGAAATGCATTACCTGTAGGTTTCTAAAGATTTGTGTGCGCCATGCCGAAACACCACGGGCCCCGGCCTTCTCTTCCTTGAGATCCGGATTCAACAGGTCGATGTCCATGTTGCAAAGAGAGCCGGGTCCGTTGCGACGAAGCGCCAGGTGCCTGAGTGAGTAGGGTCTGCACCAGTCTTTCTCACTATATATTTGTCTCTCACTGGGGGTGCGCGAGGGACTGTAGTCCTTCTCGTTATTCTTGGTGAACCTCTTCATGCTGCTGAGGCACCAAGACTTGAGAACCGCTTCGGAACCAGGCACAGGCAAAAGCAAGCCAAAGACAAGCGGCGGACCACAGACAGTTTGGCAAAGATTCGAGCTGACTAGGACTAGGATTTAGAGTTTCATCAACAAAGCCTGCATGCACAGCAGCACCTTACGGATGGGTCCTCGATGCTCCCCGGACTTGCTACCCTTCCCTCACCATGCATCTTTTCCTTGTCCTCTTGGCAGGTCCGACACGTCGCAGGCCCTGACCAGAGACCAGCATGAAGTCCATGAGTCCATGACGTTTAGTAAATGCCTACTGACGGCCACTAGCTCTTCTGGCAATGTGCTGTATCTTCCAGGATTCGACACGTTTCAAAGCCTCATGCAGCAAGCATTTCACTCAATTCACCACGTCACAGCTTGCAAAAACTACCAGCAGACCGCCTGACACTTCGTAAGCAGGCTTCTCTTCCCCGATTGCGGAGAAACCTCTGCGCGGTACCAGCACCGCTATGGATTTGCCCGACAACGCAGCATGTTCTGATTCGCGATAGAATTGATAGCTGCAGCTAGTTCCGTGGCGACTACTCAGCATCCAGGCTCCACAATACTGAACATCTTTGGAAAGCGCGCTCGTGGTGTCGCAATGTACGTTTTCAGCCTTGCATTTCGCTCGGCGATGAACGCGCCGACCTCCTCCGGGCCCTGGGACAAGGATGCATCATTGCCTTGCGGAAGTTTCCAACCCGTCCTGGAAAGGTTCGCGGTCAACGAGATGAAAGCTTGCCAGGGCAGCAGAAACCTCCTGCAATGAATGTTCACAGAGGGGCATGGAGTTGCAGACTCGGTCTAGGGATACAAAAGCACATCCATCGGTCACTCAACCTGTAGATATGAACTAGTAACTAGCGTGCCTCTATGGCTGCACACTCCGTTTAAGTTTTCATCACCCAAACCAGACACAATGATGAGACCCACGATGTTCCTTGGGCCCGACTGGATCCAGCATCTGTGGTCGGATATGCTCGCTGCCAAGGCTCTTCATGATTCTACAGGAGGCATGTCCGACCCTGCTGGATTTGGGCAACATTCTAACACTCCAAGCCCGGAGGCTTGATGCGATATTCGCAACCTGCGCCCCTCAAAACCGCCGCGGCTCACGCAGTCCGGCTGGTCATGGTGCTGAGGAAGGCGTATTTATCAATCCAAACGAGGGGATTTCCTCGTTTGGATTGCAAAGAGCCCTCCTAGTCCAGCCCCTGAAAAATCTGGGGGCGTCATTTATCGTCCGACATGCACGTGGCCAGGGTCGGATATACCTTTGTGACCATGCCGGACCTCAACCTGGGCTGCTCGGAGACGTGATGGAGACACCATCAGTCAAGCACATATATAAATATGGTGCCCCCCCAAAAAAACTAGGCTTTACTATTTTTCATCCTAAATAACAGTGTTTTCATCACTTTTTCACCATTAGATT